CCTAACTTCTTCGCTTGTTCGATTTGGTTCCAATCGAAGACTTCAACCTCGAAGTCGGCACCAACTCGAGAGGCCACTTGGACAATGAAGGCCTCATTCCACTCTGGATTGAGGGTCTTCTTCTTGGTTTGCGACTTGTAGACACGTGCGCCATTGAGATTGAATACGGCGAACGGATCCGATTTGCCTCCACGATCAACCCCATGGATGTCACGACCGTCGAGAAGTGTTAGTTGGAGTGAGCCCTGATTGTTAATGCTTTCACGAGGCTCAAGCTTCACCGGAACAGGAACATATCGCGATTCCAGTTCGACAACAGAGTGCGCCTTCCCGTCATTGTCGTACAGGGTGAACTTCGACGGACCGTCCTTCACAAAACCTTCAATAACTGGACCGCAGCAACGTGATATGCAGCCCAACTCACAAAAGTTTGTTCCAGGAAAGCCTTTGCAGCTCCCTTCCACTCCGCAATCACATCATCCTTGTCGCCTTCGTCAGCTTCGTTCAATCTCAACCACACCCTGCCGAAATCGAGCTCCTTGACGAAGCCCTCCCCAACATGCTCCCACTGTGCATGCGTACTCCGGGCCCTGACAGTACTGAATGCAGGCCAATAACCGTCATCAAGCAGCACCTCCAGACGCGCCTTCTTGGCTAGTTGACCGGAGATAACGTTCATAATAACGACACCCGACTCTGTAATTCTGATTAGTTATATTTCTGTCGAATCATGAGCAAAGCCACTCACGTTCGCGCAGGAGCTCCTCTTTGGACATCACAATGCCCTTCTCCTCTTTCTGAGGTGGAGCATTACCATTCGGTTCCTGTACATCGGCCTCGGGGGCCTCCCCACCGGCGTCGTAAGGAGCAGCCGACCCATTAGTCTTGGTGGTCCCTGTAGTAACAGCACTAGCAGTCGACCGCACCGTGTCCGTTGACTTCGCACTCTTCTTATGGCCCCTGGGGACCGTGGAACCCACCGGTCTGGTGGCAGTGATCCCTGTAGGTACATCCTCGTTCCCGACGTCCGAGCCTGACACGGAAGATCCGTCATCGTCCATCACAACGCCACCGTCCTCGTCGCCGGAAGCATTCTGAGCAGCTCGCTCAAGCTCGTTGGGTCCGGAAGAGAAGTCGTTCCACTTCAGTGCCAACGCAGGGATGAACTCGGCAGTGTAGTGAAGACGACCCTTGTACGAGTTACCCTTGTCGAGTTTGATAGGGTCCTGCGCCTCCTTTCTGCCCGTGCTGGCAAAGTAATACTGAGGATCTTCCGAGTCTTGCGCAAGGTCAGACACGCGCAACTCCACGGTGCCCAGAGACCGGTCCTAAAAGGTTGGATTAGGATAGCCATACTCGAAAGTCAATATCGGTCTCGCCTTGGTAAGATGCTGATAGTCCATGCACTCGAGTAACATAGTCTGGCTGTGATATAAGTAACGGCGGTGCAATGATAATCTATGCTGACCTCTCTGAGGGAATGCACTACACGTCAGGTCAGTTACGCGAATCTGAGCACAGAAACTACTTCACTTACCAGGAATATAGATAATTTGGTCCCATACAGGATTGAGGTCTATGGGATGTCATTGAACAATCACAGTCGATTGGGCCGTCGACACTTACTATTGTTGACAACCTCCGTCCTGCCTTCAGTGACGTTATTGATCTGCACGCGGACGTACGGGTCACTCTGCAACAAGATATCAGCACATCAATAAGCATACAGCTAGACATCCTGTACCTTGCCGCCCAAGGCAGCCTCGACGTTCCTGCACGACCATTAGTAACAACCCACCAACAACGCGGTAAGGACTTACTTGACATCCGTAGCCCTATCAATCCACAACTTGACGACCCCAATCGGCGGCGTGTACTGATCGACACCATGCAAACTGCCCGCGAGGTTCAACGGCTTCCACTCCGCCGACATCCTCACCCTGCCGCTCTTACACCCGCTCAGCGGCCACCAGTCCTTGCCCACCTCCTTCTTCGCCTCCAACAAATCTTCCAAGCGCAGGCGCATGAACCCAACAACAGGGTCCTTCATGAAATCGCGGTCATCGATGATCTTCACTGTGATGACGGACGACTGCTTGTCGGAGCACAGGAATTCAGTCGAGGACTCCCAAACGGGCGAAAGGGTGTGCTTAAACTTGGTCGTAGAGTGAATGGAGTTCTTGTTGTCGCCGAGGAAGACTTTGGCGAAGGGGTTGAGGTCGCCGGTCATGGATTTGGAGGGGTCCAGGTCTTTGGCTTGGTGGAGCGTGAGGCGCACGATACCAACGGCTGCACAGAGTCAGGAAAATTATTAAAAGACGGATGTGAAGAACGTACTAGTGTCAGGTAGCTCCTCCTTTCCATCTACCACCTCCGGCTTCAGGACAGGATAGAAGGACAAGTCAAACCTCAAAGTACCCCGCTCTTTACCATCCTTCAGCACCTCAGCCTCCAAGTTTTCCAATGTTGCATCTTCCTGCAGCTTGGACAGATCAAACGTAGCAGAACCAAGCTCAGTGTTCTTGCGATGGTCATTGTAGTCGAATACAGAGAGCACCAACGTGTCGCTCAGTGAGTTGACGAGCAAAAACTTTGTTTCGTTCCAAGATGGGTTGTACCTGCAAGAAGATAAAGATAACGCAATGCAGGCCAATACGAATGGACACGTACGTGTTGCCCTTGTACTTCGTTCTGGCAAGCTCGCCCCTGTTGCTGATACTGAGACTAACATACGGATCAGGAGTACCACCACCAATCTTGCTTCCCTTGAGACTACGGCCGGACTGGATGGTGACCTGCAGGACACCAATGGCAGCATCCAATGGGGCACCAGAAAGCAATTGCTCAAGGTTCAGAGTGAATACATTAGGATCATACATCATCGGTCCAAGAATGGAATGAACCATGTCACGAATAAACGGAGACAGCCCAGGAATCTGCAACCACGGCGTAATAAGTCCACGCAACAATCTGAAACTCAAGTCGACACCTACATCGTTGATGTCAAACCCTCCAAGAGGCTTCAAGACATAGTCAAAAACGGGTTTCTCCAAGAACGAGATGTCGACGGTCTGGATGTGCGGGTAGTTGGTCATCAATTTCATCTTAATCCTCATGAGACCAATGAAAGTGAGATCTTCCAATAGCACAGGCATGGTGACCCCGGCAATACCCTTGCCCACACGGACAGACAAGACGATCTTTGGGTTCACTTTCAGCTTGATTTGCTTTTCGGTCAAGTCAGAATGATCTGTTGGCGTAAACGAGATACCCCAGTCCATCATGACGATGTCATCAGCCGTTTTAGGGAATGTCCGGACTTTGTCGATGCGGGGAGCCTTGGTACCCAAGGTAAATGTTGAAAGACGAAGCGAATCGAGGAATGCAGGCGTATTGACGCTGAGAATCTGGTCGACGGATGATATGATGGTAGCAGAGAGAACAGGCTCGTAGATCAGCCAGAAGCGGTCCAAAAAGTTGTTGATCCAGTCTGCAGATTCATGTTCAGAGGCTAAGCGTGTCTTGACGAGTTCGCGTTGAATGTCGTCCCGCGCACGTCTGCGAACGCGTCGCATAGACGTGGAGTAGTATGTATTGGAGATCGCGAGAACGATGAACAACCATCCCCATCCAAAGTTGAAGCGGGTAAGAAAGTGGGACATAAACACGGCCTGCAAATCTTGCACGTCAGACTGCTGATGGCATGCGAAACTTGATGACGCACGAAGAAGATGAGGGCGGCATTGTGATACCAGTCGCCGTAGAGCTGCTCAGAGAGGAACAGGTCCAGGATCTGCTTGTCTTTCTGCTCGCCTTCGCTAAGTTCCGGCTCGTCGATACCACCCACTGCACGCCACCCGACTTTGTACCAGTTAGGGATAGCTGGCACGACCCCGGAAGGTATAGCGCCCGGTATGACAGGCTCGGGAGCCATCTGGTCTCCCAAGGGCGCTTCTGTGTCAGCATCTTCGATGGTTATAGTTGGGACGATGGTGGAGGCGCCAGTGTCAATAGTGACCTCTATATTTGGGACGCCTACATGAACTTTCCATGCATCCACACAATAGGAGACTACATGCCTTTACCACCGGCGCCAGTGTCTTTCTGCGAGACTGGTTCGAGCTGGTTGCGCGCCTTTCCAGCCGCAGCAGCCTTCTCTTCCGGTGACGCATCTGGGTCGAAAGTATGTACGGCGACGCGCCCGTTGTCGGTGTCTTTCTGGACTATATTATTGACCTCGGCCATTTGCTGAGCGGAACCGTTGGGTGCCGCCATGGGCAACGACGACGGCGAGGGCAATGAAGTAAGGAGGGTGGTGGAGAAGGGGTAAGGAATGTGCTATTGTACGTGTAGTATTGCAATACGACTGGGGTGCCTGCCTGCGCTGATGTCACATCACTCTAATAGCATCGACGGCATTCTTTTCGGAACTTACCATTGCTGGTATATTTTATAGATAGAACTGCCTTATATGGACAATATACCGACGCCTACAGCACCGCATTCCGCACGATTTGGCTGTTGTTCTTCCCGCTCCACACCTGTACTTGATGCATTGTCAGTCACGCTCAATTGAGTCTAGCCCAACTGCCACTAGTGATAAGTCCTTCGTGTTGCTAGACCCGTTCGTCGGTTAATTGGCTCTCTTCCATAGCTATGGCGGACGTCGGTCGCAAGCGAATTTATGTTCCGAGAGCGTACCCGCCACATTTTGCGCAGAACTCCATTCCATAACCAACGCGGTTTTAGTTTCGGGACTCCAGAACCTTGTTCTGATACATGCGGGGCAGCCAGGTACATTCCAGGCGGTGCGCCCGGGCATGACAGCCTCAGCCCATTTTCTTGTCTTTTTCATGTTGTCAAGGAATGTTCAGTTCTCTACCATAGCAATTGTTTGTATTCGCCATTTTTTGGTGCCCATGCCTGGAGATCTGTTTTGGGTGCATTTGGCCTTCCGGGGTGATTTGGTTACATAAAATTCTACTTTATATTCTTTTTATGGCCATATAGTGTAGTGGTTATCACATCGGATTCTGACTCAGTCGAGTTCCGATAACCCAGGTTCGAGTCCTGGTATGGCCTCCATTTTGGGCTCAATTCTCAGTATGCGAGACCATAATCTGGTTGGCTATGCCAAGTTTTTCGACATGACGGGGACGCGAATATTTTTGTGCCTTGCTCTGAACGAGTACTGTCAGGCTCAGGATTGGATGTTTGTTTACTCGAATTGTATTCTATCTCATTAAGTAGATCGGTCGAGAAGTCTAAGGTTAAGTAAGAGCCTCCTTGATACCTTCGTTTGCAGCGTTGTCATACATATTCACAAGTGACAATAGGAATCTATGACCATCTTGCGCGGGTAGCAGCAGTGACACTGTTTTAGATTCTAACGTCGAAGACCAGCATCTAGCAAAGAAATGGTATCAGTTCATACGAATAGTGATACACACCAGAGCTTTGCCGCTTCGAATGCACCGCTGTTCTCAGACTGAAGAGAGCCACACCACCGCTAACATATTGAATATACCGGGTGTGTCTGTGTAGGAACAAGCTAACGTGTATCAGACGTACAACATCTACAAAGAAGGAGTTCGCTTGACTGACTTCAGAGAGTGGGTGGAAGGCTTCACTCACTAGCGGTTCTATTGTTGTAGACCTCGCGAGGGTTCAGTGGAGATGGACCAAGCGCGAATCGCTGGCCACTCGTCTTGGTCTCTTTTATGTCGATATCCGTCCTCTTGGAGATAACGCCTTCATCAAGTCCTCTGACGGACAAGCCGGATACCACACTGCAAAATGTGAAGGTGATCGAGAGGAAGGACACTAGTGATAACAAGCGGAGAACTAAGGTTCCAGTACTTCAGGCCGGCGAGCGCACCCAAGCCGTTATATTACATCGTCGATTCCGAACCAGATGAACGGGCTCGCATCCGTGGTGGAGGGATTGCTCGAAGCAGGGACATCCGCGCCCACTCCGAAGGAAGACCGGCTGCCATGATTTGCTCTGCCCCGGACCCCGGTTTAGCACAAATACCTGGTGACACCGAGGGGTCATCCCAAAGCCTGGTGCTTTGATCCATGAACTCGATTTTTCTGCGGTCAAAGAGGACGGCATTTGCTGCAAGCCGGTGGTGTTATCCTGCTTAGCATATGAGCAAGGTCCGGTGTCATGGTTCAACGTTCATGCATGATGCATCTCTGCACTTTGTGAAGTCAGGCCGTGACATACGAAGACATCCCTTTCATTCCAATCAGCAACGCAAAATGACACGTCTCATCCGATCAAGCAATAGAAGATGGATGAGCAGAGACCTAACATGTCATTGTCCTGTCAATCTGTCAACTTTCAGAGGAAGGCACGAAACAGTCGCATTGAAGCAGGGGAAAGCTCACCTGTTACAAAAGCCTGCAACCGCAGATTGGGGAGCGTGAATGTTATATATGTGTGTGGACAAAACACCGCCGCGGGCTGTAGGAACCAAGACCGATTGTCCTCGTAGACGCGTTGACGGCTTGAAACGAAAGTAGATGACAGGATTACAATTATTCTGCTAATAGAGCCACCACGGGTAGAGGTTATCAGTGCCATAGAATGCACGTATCACAATATCTATAACTGTCCATCTCTGGCTCACTGGGTTAGATCAAACAAAAGGGACATGCCTTTGAGATGATGAGTCTGTCTCAAGTCTGTTTCATAAGACAGATAGCAACATAAAAAGCATGACTAGCCGGAGCGTATGCGTTAGTATACTCACGGTACACGTAATTGCAAGTACAATAAAATTATTGGATTGCATCGGAGAGTCGGGACGATTCAGTATAAACAATGCGATTAATGCAAACACAACACACTGAGATGTATATCCGTTATAGCTCCGTCCATCCCGAGTCTCTCTCCTCCCCACTAAGCATGCCCAGTACGAACATGAGAATGCTCGCGCTGAACCGCATCCCAAGACCCCTATAAAGTTGGCCAATCCCAGTATTCTTGAACCAACCCTCCTCAATGACCTCCTCCTCAACCTCCGCCTCTTCCCGACCCTTGCCCTTATCCCCACTCCTGCTCGGTCTGCGCACCCTCCGTCTCTCCAATGGCAAGTCCGAGCGCTCCTCCGTCAGAATATGCCACATAGCATCGATCACACCGTTATACGGCGCAGGTCGTAGCTCGACGCACGCCTTGATAGGCTTTGCGGACCCACGCACCTGAGCCTGCAGTCGTCTCCGCACCGTTTCGAATGGAAGCGTCACAAGGAGACCTGCCCAGTCGCCTGCCAACTCGGCGAAGCTCCAGGCAATGGGGTGCGTCTCCTCAGTAAGATTAGGGCTGATGTTCGCTGCAATGATACCAGGGAGAGCTAACGGGATAATTGCTCGGAGGGCGCTATCGAGCACAGTCGGGATGATGAGATGTGGGTGCAGGTAGACACCCCTGAGTCCGCCTTCTTCCCGAATGATCTGGGACAGGGCATCGATAGGGCCTGTATACCTGCGGTGACGGGCCAAGGATGTCTGGATCATGAGACGCGTCCGCACAAGGTCTAGTGGCGAAACGAGGAATCCAGTGATGATATGCGAGATAACAGGAAGTATAAGAGGGAGTTGCTGGTAAGGAGACAGATTTGGTGCGAACACGGCCTGAAGAGTGCTAAGGATGACGGGTTGGATTGTTGACGAAAGGAGATCCATCACACAAGATGTTAGTGTACCTAGATAGACATATAGTTGGAGAAATTGACCCTTGAGCATGTGTGAATAGCTTACCCTTCCAAAGAGCTAACCACCCTTCTCCCTTAAATCGCGCAACACGTTTCATCATTCCCCAAACACCTCCAGCACTCCCAATCGGTATGATGTACTCCGGCCTTGTCGCCTCCTCAGTCACCGACCTTCTAACCACATACCCGCTCTCTCTCGGAGCACTGTACCGCGAGCCGGGGGGCGAGCTCGTCGGGTCAGCGAAATACGAGTCGTGCTCATCTGACGAGGAATTGCTCAGCTACGGGGATCTACGCATTAATCGAGCCCATTACTGTGCACGCGGGACACTGTAAACTGCGTACCACTTCTTCCTCCTCTACTTCTTCGATAGTTTCCCGGGGCGGCTCGATCTGGCCCACGTCCCGCGGGACCCATTGCACTTGGAGCAGAGTCCTCCCCACATCCCAAGGGATCGCAATAGCAAAGCTAGTGTACTTTAGGAAGGCGGAGGCCACGAGGGCCTTTAGGAGTAGAGTAACATTTATGCCGGATGGGTCATTCAAAGAGGGAGAAAGGTCGAAGATGGAGTTGGTGGGCGGGCGTGACCATTGGTATTGGTAGACAGGAGTTTCAGCAGCTGACGATGTCGCATTGGAAGCGCTCGTGCCCTGCTGGGCGGGCACAAACGACCAAGTAGGAGGGGATGAAGAATATAAGTCTCGTAGTGAAGCAGGATAAGTCATGTCATCTGCGTGAATCTGTTACAGCCGTCTTTGCCCTCGCAGGGCCCGAAGAAAGACTCAATATCCGATATTGTCGATGTGAAGGACAAGAACGCAGACTAAGTTACGGTGGAGTGAATGAAAGTAGTTTCCAGTCTGAGTGAAGAAGCTGAGCGCTGAGGCGCGTCCTGCGGTAAGAAGTGCACGTGTCTTTTCCCGATACCAATACAGACCGATACCCACAAACTGCCCGAGTCCTCAGAATCATACAAAAGTCGTATAGTTCCATACCATAACTATATAGTATACAGCAGAAGTAGTATTACACAATGCTCGCAAGTAGCGAAAGTCCCCATCCTCGGTAAAGCTGACCAAACCCTGGAAATCGATCCTGAAATCGGGTACTGCTTCGCCTCTCGGTATCGTGAAGCCTGACACCCTCTATCACGGAAGGATGCAGTGGAAGATCCGCTCTCTCCTCGGTTGCAATGTGCCATAGAGCATCAATGACACCGTTGTAAGGTACCGGTCGTACCTGCACCGAGGTCGCAATGGATCTCCCTGGACCGCGGACTTGCAGCTGCAGTCTCCTCCGCACCGTTTCGAAGGGCAGGGTGACAAGTAAGGTTACACTCCCGCAAAGGACTTTGGACATGAGGCCCCTGCGAATGTAGGCGTTGGTAACTTTAGGGAGTGCCAGAGATGTCACTGATTGGAGAGTATTATCCAGAAGTGTCGGAATGAGGAGATGCGGGTGGAAGTAGATCCCCTTCCATCCACCCTCGTAGCGCAGTATTTGTGATAATTCGTCTAGCAAGCCTGAGGAAGGTCGCAGATGTGGTTCGGAAGAATGTACGATTAGGCGAGTGCGGACGAGCTCTAGCGGGGAGAGCATCAGTCCTGTCAAAACATGTGACACGATATTCAAGAGGATGGACGAATCGCCAACTGGAATGCCTGCGACTTCACATGTGAATTCAAGCAAACTAAAAATTATTGGCTGAGACACCGTCGAAAGGATTTCGATCAAACACGATGTCAGAGATCCTACAAATCCCATGAGATACCCGATCGCTGGGCAAAGGAAGCGGATGAACATACCTTTGAACAACGATGTAAAGCCTTCATGCGCAACAAGCTTCCTCATCATGCCCCAGATGCTCCCCACACTACCGGCCCGAATCGCATGGCGCCCAATAACCAATCCACCACTCTGTGTGCCAACAATGGTGGGCCGGTCCAAGTCTTTCGGAACCCATTGCACCTGCAACAGTGCCGTCGCGACTTCAAGGGGGCTCACCACGAGAGCCGAGGCACACTCGAAACAGCCCCATGCAGCGAGCGCTTTCAACACCTCAATCCAGCTCGCCCGGGATCCATCAGACGCAACCCATGCGAGGTTATCGTCGAGCGCTGAAGCGGTCCACTTGTACTCCAAATAAGTCGAATTTTCTTCGGATTCTGGGATGAGTCGCTCTGGAAGCCCTTGAAAATCCGAAAGAGACGAAGAGTAGTATTTGCGAAACGAAGCAGAGCAGAGGAATGGCGATTCCATGGCCTCTAATATGGGGGTTGCTTTGTATGCGCTTCAAGACATCTGCATACTCACTAAAAGTCCGCTTGCTGACGCGCTGGAGTCAATGTTCAATCTCATCC